CTTACAGTCATTCATTTAGTGACTGTTCAAACTTACAATGACACTGAAAAAGTTGACTTTTGACCATTTTTCACATTACAGCCATTGCAGCATCCCCAGGGTCACATGATCAAAATTCAGCAACTTTATATATCTAAACTTTATATATAAACTTTGTTTATAATGGTTGCAATGTCCCAGGATTTCATGACCACCTGACAAGCAAAATCAATGCGGAAATCAGATTCACTTAATTGTGTTACTAACTTAACTTGACTCACTTAACAATTGTGGCAAGAAAGCTCATAACATGGGGAAAAACTCATATAAGAAGTGTCTTGCTTGGCATAATTCTTTGAGAAGTCAAGATGTTGCAAGATGTAGGGCAGTGTCATATTTACAGCATGATCTGTAATCTATTTGTATGGTAGGCAAATTGCAAGGAATCTAGCAGCAGATCTGTGATGGCTTTCAGGTGGGCCAACACTAACCCTTTCAAAGGTTTTCATAACTACAGATGTCAGAACTACGGTCGGTAGTCATTCAGCTCCTTGATGGAGGGTTTCTTGGGCCCCAGAATGATAGCAGAGCATTTGAAGCAAGAAGGAACATAACACATCTCCAGTGATTTATTAAAGATGCAAATGAAGATGGGGGGAGGGCAGTTGATCAGCACAGACTTTCAAGCAAGAGGGAGTTACCCTGTCTGGCCCTGGTGCTTTTCCACCTTTTTTCTCTGTGAAATAGACTAAACACATATTTTTCTGTGATCACTAGAGATATGGAGTTGGGTGTAGGAGACTTAGCTGTTCTTGATGTATCTGAGATGGAGAGAGTAGCAATAATTGAAAGTGGTCTCCTCTCAAACCTACAGTAGAACACATTCAGGTCATCTGCCAGTTTCTGCTTCTCTTCTTTAAGGGGTGCAGATCTTCCGTATCCAGTGATATTCTTCAGTCTTTTCACACATTTGCTGGTTCATTTGTGCAGAGCTGAATCCTCAGATTTTCAGAATAGCTTATTTTTGCTGCCCAGATCTCTCTTATTAATTCATTCCTGGCCTGAATGTACAGCATTCTATCTCCTTTTCTGTAGCCTTCCTCTTTGGCACGGCATAGATATTTGAGCTTAGCTGTGAACCAAGTTTTATTATTAGTGTAGACACATAAAGTTTTGATTGGCACACATATAAACCCTCGCAAAAGCTAACAAAAGTATGATGTCAGGGTATTTGTGAGTTCATCCAAATCCATTGAGGTAGTTTCAAAAACATTCCAGTTTGTGCAGTTGAGGCAAGCCTGTAGCTTTAACTTTGTCTCTTCGGTCCAAGATTTTACTGTTTTAATTACTGGTTTTATTATTTTAAGTCTTTGTCTATAAACAGATACACGATAAATTATCGAGTGATCAGAGTATCCCACAGCCACTCTTGGTAGAGAATGATACACATCTTTTTATTATAGAGCAGTTGTGGTCTAAAATATTCCTGCCTCTTGTGAGACATAATTAATGTTTCTTGGCAGCTCATGGTTTATGTTAGCACTGTTAAAATATGCTAATACAATGAGTAGGGACTCTGGATAGCTCTGTTCAGCCCTCAGGATTTGGTCAGTTAAGGTTTGCAATGCCTTGTTTATGCAAGTTTGGGGTGGTATGTAGATACAACTAGGATGAATGAAGAAAACTTGGGGGGATAATAGGATGTGCAAATGATGAATAGTGTCTCAAAGGCCACATCAATTTTTTTTTTTTAGTGTAGTGACATTTTTACACCATCAGTTAATATAAAAGCAGATACCTCCTCCCTTCTTTTTACCGGATGTTTCTGCAATTCTACCTGCTCTTTGAATCTGAAATCCTGGGATTTGCAAGCAGCTATCATTAATCGAATCATTCAACCATGTTTCAATGAAGCAGAGGGTTGCTGAGTTAGAAATGTCTGAGTTCTTATTTAACAGGAGCAGTTCATCTATCTTATTTACAAGTGGGTGAAGATTAGTTAAATACAGCAAGGGGAGATTTCTTACCCTGTGCTTTTGGACACTTAATAAAAAGCCTTCTTACTTGCCCCTCCTTCTCCTTTCTTGTTTCTCTTCTGCTTTCTAATTGCCATGCTGAGACTTAACTGCCAATCCCTCAGTCAAAATTTCTTCCACATTTGAAAAGAAGGGAGGAATAGATCCAGAAAGCTGCTTGTTATTTAAAATCTACTGTCCAATATTCAAAATCAGATCTGAACATGATATTTGCAGAGAGTCGCATAAAATGTAATCTTATACTATAAAAAGACAAATGTAATCAACTAAGTATAAACATTAAAGTTATGAAATAAATCACATATTGATATGTTGTAAACAACAAAGAAACTTTTTTATAGAGCTCTGAGCTTTCATTCAGGGGGCTTGGTCTTTGTCCCAAGCATAAGACTGTTTCTGCAGAAATAAACAGCTGAAAATCCCTTCCTTGTTCCTGCATGATTTATCAGCAATTCACTCTGGAGAACACAATGCAGCTGTGGTTCAAACCAATAACATGGCTCATATCTGTTCTACCTACTAGTTTAGAAATTTCTGCTGCAGAAATTGATTAAATATTTTCCCATCAGAAGGTGTATATCAGCGGGTCCCCACAGGACCAGTTCTATGGAGAGAGACTTTTCTGCAGACTGGGGAGGGGGTGGGCGTGGTTTCTCATGCTGCCTGCATCCCCAGATGGGGCTTCACTTGTTTGTTTGGCCCAGTTGCTGGCATGCCGTGGATTGATGCCAATCCACTGACTGGGGGTTGGGGGACCCCTGGTCTACATCTCCAGACTCTCTGCCCCTGACTATTTTTTTCTCCCCCCCCCCCAAATCTCATTTAAATATCTTTTATATAAATTCTGAGTTATTGTATTATTTAATCGCATCACTGTTTTCCTCAATTGTGTGGTGGTAAAAACTCAGTTTTAATTGGGACCCTGAAAAAGATGAGGCACAGGATAATAAAGAAGTTTGACCTTTCTCGGTGCCACTATTATGATACCCAGAATCTTTCTCAAGGATGTAATTAGGCACTTGCCTACTGTGCATTTGTTCTTGCATCTGATAACTCCTCCATTTTCTTTTCTGACCTTAAAAAGAGAGGATAATTACATTTGTAGGTTTAGTACAGGGCAGTAACCTGGAAGTTGCACACTAAGCTTGTAACCAATTTAAGGGATGGTATTTAACATATACTGAGGTGGAAAACGAGGTAGGATCAGGAAAATGGATAGAGGTAGGAATCTATATATCTATAGTTAGATCTAGTGGTTAAGGCACCAGGGCTAGAAAGTGATAAACCATGAATTCAATTTCCAGCTGGGTAACTTTGGGCCAATCACTCTTTCAGCCCAACCCACTCATAAGGCTGTTGCTGTGGAGAACATAGGAAGAAAGTGTGTTGGATATGTTTGATGCCTTGAGTTATTTGTAAAAATACGTAATAAAAATAATATTACTGGGATATAAATAAACAAATCTGTCTTATTACTAATTCCTACAGAAGGACTAATTATCCAAATTCAATGCCGAGGGCTGAATTTTCACCCCATTCAGTTGACTGATAAAATTGGCTAAAGATAATTGCCTTTATTTTCAAAAAGAATTTGTTTTTTGTTGTTAAGTTTTTTTTAATCTGATTCCCTGGCAAGTTTCCTTTTTTCAGAGAAGCATCATCATTCATTAACTGTAACAAAGGGGCAGTTACCTAAATGATTTTCCTCAGCTCAGATTGGTAAAGAAGTCCCTTAAAGATGGTATTGACTGTCTCATCTCTTGGTGGCTTGAATGATTGCAGATAGCTATGGCAAGCTGTCTTTTGAAGCTAGCTCAGAATGTTGCTGTTTATAGACTTTATGGCAGCACCTGAGATAGGCTTAAAGTGTTACAGAGCTTGCTACTTTGTGTTTCTGAAGAAAATTTGCATCATCTTTACTACCTACAAACTATTTTTTAACCTATAAACTGTTTTTCTTGAAATATCACCTTCTGCCATCTGGCCCTGTGTGAGTGCAAGGATATGTATTCTCTTTTCTGAATTTGATGGGAATGAAATTTATGAACTAATAAAATAAACCTTTACATAGTGTTTTGTCCAAATTTGGAAACAAAGCATTGAGAGGCACTTGTCTAACCTTGTACCAATTGTTGGCAAGTAACTGGTCTTATTTAACCAGGCCTTTCTGAGTTGGAACTGATTTGTCTTCCTGTGGTATGGTCTTTTCTCCTTTATTGATACTTTAATTAGTTATTTTCGAACAGTTTATATAATGATGTATTGTTAAATTTTATTCAGTTTATATCCGGCAATTCTACTTGTGTGAGTGCTTAAAGTAGCTATCAAAACAATATAAAGATTATTACAGATAAATAAATGGCAACTATTTTTATGCATTTTGCGTGGTATCTGGTATTGGTTTCTTTATGTTGCTGAATTTATTTAAACATTCTATTGAAAAGTTTATGGTAGATAGTTTGAGTCTATTTGATGAAATAATAAAGTACATGTAGCTAAATGGAATAAGTAATGAACAGCAGATACAAGTGCCTAATAAAATAAAGTTTGGCTTTGTGAATTTTATTAGGCACCTGGATTTCCTTTATGTGAAGAGAAATGGAATTTTATTAATTGAAAAAAGGAATTTGGTTTTGACAAAACTTCTGTACTTAAAAAAATAGCGTGACAGAAGTGTGACATCTAAGGCCCTCTGGATGCTGGGGATGATTTTGTCCTTTCCATGTTTTATCTGATAGCACCAGTCAAAGATTATATGGAAAAGATGAAAGCTTTTTCTTAGTCCAACATCAGATTATCCTTGCCTATGAAAAAAATATTGTCTTAGTAGATAATCACTGTTTTGGGGATAACAGTTATTATCTTCAGTATTGCAGCCTGCTGTTGTCTATCAGTTTGTAAAGTGAGATTTGTGCCAAACAATTATCTTCTCAGGATGAGTGAGGCTGTTTGATTTACTTTTGTGTTATTCTTTTTTTTTTTCAGAGACAATTGCCTGAATTCATCAGGATGCACAGAACTACCAGGATAAAAATCACAGAGCTGAACCCTCACTTAATGTGTGCCTTATGTGGAGGCTACTTTATAGATGCCACAACTATTGTGGAATGCTTACATTCATGTAAGTATCAAATAAGGAAGCTCCCTGTTTCAACTTGACAGAATCTCTGGACTTTCTCATTGATGAAGGTCCATTTCAAATGCTTAGGATAATCATGCTGTCCATCCAGAACACAAATTCCCTTCACTATAGGATAACTAATCTGCTATTCTTCAGATTGTCCTGGTAACCTTGATTTCCCTGATTTTCAAAATATTCTTCATTTCTACTGCCCAATATAGATAATTTTGTTAGCAAGTCTGGACATGAGTGACAGTTAAAACAGTAATATATTATTTTAATAAATGAAAGATGAGCTAGACTAAAGGCTAATATGCTGAAGATTCCTATTGACAAGATAGTTAAATAGCTCATAGTTAAACTTACGTAGCAAGATTTGGTTAAGTTTCATCTTCACCATTTAATGCTTCTTGCCAGTTAGTCACCAATGAATAAGAAAAGAGGGGGGAAAGTAACCACTTAGCACAATATCAGCTCCCTTTACTTATTATTTAATGTTTTATATATTTGATCATAATATGATGTATGCCTGAATATAGTTTAATGTCAATTATTGATATAAACTTCAGTTTTATGAAGAGCAAGTAGTCTAAATATGCCTTCAAAAACTCTTTTAAGATGGGAAGTTAATATTACACACTCATCCACTGGAGTACAATTTCTCATTCAGATTTATAGCAAATGTGCTTACAAAAGAGATTGTGTGATTTTGGGAAGGCTAGTAAAATCATTGTTTCAAAAGTGAAAATTGTTGCAAGTGTAGGTGGTCCTCAGAATAAAAGAGTTAGAATGGTCCTTGGAGGTTTTCTAGTCCAACCCTTGCTCAATCCGTAATATTAAAAATATCATTTTTTGATATTTGCTTGAGAGCACATTGAAGTTCACTGTAAAAAGTCCACTTTCATCATCATCTGAGTCTATAGTTGGAGCATAGATTTGTAGTATAGTGATGTTGAATGACTTGCCTCAAATATGGATACATATTATGTGATCACTGTATGCTCTGTGGTTCTCAACACATTTAACTACTTGTCTGCTTATGTAGAATCAATTCCTTTTCATGATGATATAATTTTCAGAAAAAAAAACCAAAACTACTGATTTGAATTCATCACTGCCTGTCCAGTGTAATTCACTGATGCCAAGGATGTGTATATTCATTCTAATCATTTCCTTATCTACAGAAACTCAATTTTGAGTTTCCCAAGGGACATGTCTCTAACATTCCATATTCCAATTTGATATGATTTTATACAGTGTAGGCAGTCTCTTTTATTATGGGCATTATCAATTTTTGGACTTCACAAGGACTTTCCTCCAACAATCTAACAATGCATATAAGCTTACGAAAAGTTCGGCCCTTGCTTTTCTCCAGTAGCTTGCAGGCTACTATCTAGCCTAGAGGTTTCACTGTTGGTATCCCTACCTGACTCATGTTAAGTTATTGCCATAAAGGGTTCTGTTGAGGTTTTTTTTTTTTAACAGGTTGTTCACCATTGCTTTCCGTAACTCTCCCATTTATCTGGGTTTGAGACCAGCATATGGTTAATGAATCAACTGTTTGGATTTGGACAGACAATTTGTATCCCTACCCTACAATGCCTGTCAAGTTTCTATCTTTGTTTTTTCTGCATTTTAAAAAATCAGACAAGGGATTCCTTTTATCTAGAACTAATATAGCAAAAACTGGAGCTCTGGAATTTTTTTTTTTACTCCAGATGATTTTCTAGCTAGCTTGCGTAACCATTGCTTTGCTTCATAGTAAGGCCAGATTTGATCCAGGTTTGGATCAAGATTCAGATTCATTTTCATAAATTCAGATTCATTTTCCTGTGTGACTCCTCTTTTCTACCAATGTTTTCTTTTCTTTTTTTTAGTTTGTAAAACCTGCATTGTCCGCTATCTGGAAACCAACAAATATTGCCCAATGTGTGATGTACAAGTTCATAAAACAAGGCCCCTTCTCAGTATCAGGTATTATACATTGTTTTATACTCCAGTTTAAGACTACTTGTATTTACCTCAGAAGGTATCGGGTGGAGCCATATATTAGCTTGGAAACCTTGGTTCTTTCTAAGTGTTCGTTTGCCGACATTTCATTACTAAAGTAAGTAATGAAACTAAGTAACCTCATGTAGTAGCTAAATAACTGTAAGCAAATAACCACACTCAGAGATCACAAATGACTCTACAGTTTAACCTGAATTACACACAGTGTATTTTATTAAATTGGTAGTAACTGAAAAGCTTGCAATATGGTATCTACTATACTGTCTACAGTGGATTCTTATGTACTGTTACAATGGAGTCCAATAACACCAATTCTTCACTTTCCTACAGCTCTGCATTTGGAGTTGAGACATAACTCGGGGGATCACTGTATGCTATTTCCTTTTTATTTCACATGCTCCAGACTTAAGATCCAATGCTTTTTTCAGGCATCCTCACATTTGATGAAATAGTCTGAAGATGTCTTTGTATTAAATTTGTTTGATGGGAAATTCAGCTTTCTCTGCAATCTTGAACATTAATTTGTGGCAGAAAATACTTTTATTTCCCCACAAACCAATGTGAATACTATTTCCATTTAGGAATCCAGTTCATATATAAAGGTTGGGGACTTTATGCAGCTCCATTTTTACCTAATTTCAAGCGTTCATGTCATCAGACAAATACAAAAGGGGCTCCATTTTGCCCTCTGCTTTGTTTTCCCAAAAATCTTCCCAGCATGACATGCTATGACATCTTTACAATTTAAGGTGTTTGTTATTTAGAAATGATAAATATTTTCCCTGCTTTGGCTATGACTACATCTTTTCCTATCAGCCCAAAAGTTCATCTGCATTCCAGGTGTCCAATTTCTCAAAGGAGCTTATAGGCAGAAGACAAATACATAGTTGGATACTTTTCTTCTCAGCTAATCCTCTATTAAAAAGATTGTTTCTGAATCTGCCATTTTGTAGATGAGTAGATCCAGTTTCTCCAGGAAGAAGTCAGTAGGAATATTGAGAGAGGAGGCATTTGTATGACTTGCTATGCTTTTCTATAGTTGGCAAACTGCATGGTAAGGTAAAGCTAAAATATTAATTAAAGAGCTTCATAAATTATAATCCAGACAGAGCTCTTAAAAGAGTCTTTAACTCTCACATGAAGCTACAATAATTATTTAGCCTGAGTACAATTGTGGTTTATGGTATAGTGATCCATTTGACTTGGAACTTTTATATTAACCTCCTGCCAGAGGCATGCTTGCAGCTTGAATTCTCTTTCCTAAGAAATAAAATCCCAGGACAAAAGTCTGAATAAATTATCCAAATACAAAATATCTGTACAGCGCTATCTATTTATATGAATTTATTTTATTTTACTCAACTTATGGAGGAACAGAAGATTGTACAGGACAATCTTGGCCTCCCTTTACAGTTGGCCCAATTCCTTGCTGCTTTGTGACGAGAATTCTATAGAGTCAATTTTGACTCCTGAAGACTGTCTCAATAAATTCCTCAGTTTTCTTGGCAAGATTTCATAAGTGATTTGGCATTCCCCGCCCCCCCCCCATCCTAGGGCTAAGTGGGAGGGATTGACCCAAGTGGCTAAATTAAGATTAGAACTCATAGTCTCCTGGTTTCCAGCCTGGTACCTTAACCATAGTGGCTCTCCTTTCTGTTACTAGAATAGACTAATTATTCCACTAGGTTTAGGTTTAGGTTTATTGGATTTATATGCCACCCTTCTTCCAAGGACTCAGGACAGCGTACAACATTTAAAAAAAAACATATATTACAAAAGTTTAAAAAAAACATAATATCCAAAAAACAAACCCAATTTAGATTGACAATAACATTTTAAAAAGAAATTTGATTAAAATTAACAATAATCAATAATTTATTTTGTTTTGTTCAGGCCAGGCTGGCTTGCTGGAAAAGCCAACTTTTTAGGGCACGTCGGAAGAACCAGAGGTTGGGGATTATACGAAGCTCCGGGGGCAGCTCATTCCAGAGGGAAGGTGCTCCCACAGGGGTTCGATAGCCGACACTGTCTGGCCGACGGCACCCTGAGGAAGCCAACTCTGTGGGATCACACTGGACGGTGGGAGGATACCGGTGGCAGTAGGTGGTCTCGCAGGTATCCTGGGTCTAAGCCCTGGAGCGCTTTAAAGGTCATAATTAGTACCTTGAATCGCACCCATTTCATTCTTCCTGTTTTAAACGAATCCATACAAGTGCATATTTTGAAGAAAAAAAAACATTTTTCACAGTAGCAACGGCTTAGCAGGATTATAAATATTTCTGGTAAATTTTGAAATCTTCCTAGCTGAAAACTTTGGTTCATATCTTTTTTCTTCTGGAGCCTTCTATCATCCATAGGACTCATTGAATTGAATGACTAGGCTACATTTCTTGATTCTCATATCTCTAACAACAAAATTCAAAGGCATCAATACTTTTCCTATCCTGGAACATCTTAGTGAATGAAAGTTTGGCAAGAAGAAGCAATACTCCAATACAGAAGTGTCACACTCAAGGCCTGTGGGCTGAATCTGGGCTGCAGGGCCCACGGGGCACCCTGGAAACAGCAAGGGACCGGTCAGTGGTGCCTCTTCAAGCAAAAATGAAGCTTGAGAGGACTGTGTGTGGCCTTCCTGAGCTCCGTTTTCACTGCCAGAGGGTTGCAGGAGGCCATCACAACCAGAAATGGAGCTCACGAGGGCCGCACACAGCCTGCCCGGACTCCATTTTCACTGGCAGAGGTTTGCAGGAGGCATCACAGCTGTAAACTGAGCTTGTGAGGGCTGTGTGCGGCCTCCCAGGCTCCACATTTGCTGGCAGAGGGTTGCAGGTGGCTATCACATCCAGAAACGGATCCATTTTTGCTGGCAGAGCAGGAGGCCGTTGCAGCCGGAAGCAGAGCTCAGGAGCCCGTTTTCGCGGGAAAAGTACACAGGCCATCACAGGCGCCCCCGACATTAGTGACATCCACATACCCCTGCCTCCCCCCCGGGGTCAAACACAACCCTGATGCAGCCCTTAATGAAATTGAATTTGACACCGCTGCTCTAGAAAAAAATGCTATGTACAAATATAGAAATATACAGTTGAAAGGGAAAATAAACTCAGGTTACTAAATTAGAAGGCTGATAATGCATCCTTGAAGACTGCCATGCTTCTAGCCAAGACAGTCCACCAAATTAGGCATAACTAGGCAATCAACCAATCTTCAACTATAACAGGGAAGAACACACAGAGAGGGACACTGCCCTCAAAGGGCCTCTCTTATATAGACAGCCTCTTAAAGTGAGAACCCTGCTGACTAATTCTCCTTGCATCATCTTGGTTTACAGCCTTACAGCAGCTGATCAACTATTAAATCATCATTACCTTAATATTCCTCCCATTTAAAGCTGAACAGCTGAATGCTTTAGCATATTGATGATGCTTTCTTTTTCCATTTTATCCTTGCTTCTGCTTCAGTTCCTACTCTCATTGCTACTGTAGGAAGTTAGCACCCACTCCTCTCCTAGAAAAATGAAATATCCTAGGAAATATTGAAAAGGCAGATTATATTTCCCTGGATGTGAAAAGGGAGAAACCTGTTTTAAAGACAAAGTAGCTCCCTGCCACCCACGCCCCTTTTTGTCAATGAGCCATTAAAGCCTGAGCTAGTCTACTTTACATAATAAAGGTAATGTTAGCCTTTCACAGAAACTCACCACATGGCATCTGGAAACTCAATCAAACTCAGGATTCAAAACACAGCCTAGAGAGTTGCCCCTGCATGGCCCCATGGGAGTCTGGCAACCAATCAGAATACATTTCTTACACAGGAACAGGAAACAGAGAGGTGGGGCTGAACAGATTATAAAAAAACCAGCAAACCCCTTCCTCTCTTCTCTTCTTCTTCACCCAACATTGAAGCATGTGATCCCCTTTTCTGTTCAGGACTCAAGCCATGTGATCCTGTCCACCATTAAACCATCTTTCCAAGCAGCCTCCATGTCTCCAGTGCCTTTTCCCCCACGTGGAGCTGAACCCAAAAGGAAATTCTTCCAACACTACAAACGCTACTAGTGCCATTACTACTACTGCTGCTGGACCTACTCCTAATTCTATTATCTACTGACTGTGTACACTCTGGCTCATTAATCATCATTACCTTAACATGTGTAGGAAGTTAAAACCCATTCCTCTACTAGAAAACTGAAATATCCTGGGAAATATTAAGAAGGCAGAATATTAAGTTTCCCTGGATGTGAAAAGGGAGAAACATGCTTTTAAAGACAAAGTAGCTCCCTGCAGCTTTCCCCCCACCCATGTTTGTCAATGAGCAATTAAAGCCTGAGCTAGTTTACTTTATATACTAAAGATAGGATTAACTTTCTACAGAAACTCACCACATGGCACCTGGGAAGAAGCAATGCTCAACCAAACTTGGACTCAAAACACAGCCTAGAAAGAGTTGCCCCTGCATGGCCGCATGGGAGTCTGGCAACCAATCAGAATACATTTCTTACACAGGAACAGGAAACAGAGAGTTGAGGCCGAACAGAGAATATAAAGCTAGGAACTTTCAAACCTTCACTCTCTTCTTTTTCACCCAACATCTGGAAGCATGTGATCCCCCTTTTCTGTTCAGGGCCTCAAGCCAGGTGGTCCTATCCACCATCAAACCATCCCTCCAAGCAGCCTCCATGTTCCCAGTGTCCCCCTTCCCCACATGGAGCTGAACCCAGAAGGACATCTCTTCCAACTCATGAGAATTGGAATTAATGAATTACTTAGGATTAGAAGCAATACATATTAGAGGTTAACTCCATGGTTATGCAAAGGTCTTGTTAGATCATTTCCACTGAAGTTACTTTGACTCCATGGCTCAAGAATCCATTGGGGTAATGGAATGTGTGGATGACCTTGTGAAATGAGGGGAAGAGATACTACCTAGGAAACAATCGGACAAGAGAAGGAGGAGTGCCCAAT